CAAGTGTGAACTGCCTTTAGCTATCTCGGTCTAATTTTATCGATATTGTATACGTGGTCCAACACATCGTATGAAATGTAAAATGATACAACCATTACATTAGCACTGTTCAATACGTTCGCTAATATCCAGGTCACCGGAAGATACTCTCTGGAATTCCGAACACAGACATAATAGTTTGATACTTATTCCAAAAAAAATCGTGGACGTAGTACGTTCTAGGGCTAAATATGTTCCTTGAAGTGTAGTGTTTTCTAATCTACATATTTCCTCTATAGTCTCAATCATTTGGTTACATATATATTCCAAAGGTTATATAAATGCAGTCAAACGGAGTTGCCAACCTTGAATTATAGCAGTGGCTATTAAGAAAATTTTTCGAATGCGAGCGACTCATGATGATCCGGAGATTCCCACAAGGGCGGATTAAGAGACAGTGAATAAAACGAAATGAACTAACGCAACAAGATAAAGAGCTATTTACTGTCTGAATACAAAAAACTGAATATTTGTGATCGGACCTCATTTTTATCTCGAATATTTTTAGGAACTGACAGCGACGAATTATAGTACACATTAAATAAAAGAGAATATATATGATTTTGAGTCACTTTCAGTGAATTGTAACAATAGAGGGACATATTAACTATAAAAGGATGATATGTCTGGCAATCTAATAGAAAACAGTGGTTCTAAAATTACAATACATACATACAAAAATTAGGTAAACTAATAAAAAGACATCATATTCAACAAGCACAAAATGGTTACTCAGTACGAATACAATCATATCTAAGTTATAAATTCTTTGGTTATTTACTTACGCTTGTGGAGGAGCATAGGCCACCCATCAGCATTCTCCATCGAACTCTGTTCCTGATGATCCTTTCCAGTTGCTGTTGATCTTTTAGTTATCTTTCTCCAATTATCGGCTCAGTGTGTTCTTTGGTCTTCTTCATTTCCGTTCCCACTAGGGATTCAAGTTAGGATTTGTCTCGTGATGCAGTCTGATGGTTTCCGCAACGTATGTCCTATCCACCTGAAGCGTCTTTTCCTAATTTCCTCTTCAGCTGAAAGCTGGTTTGTTCTCTTTGATAGTAGGCTGTTACTGATGGTATTGCACAAACGGACATTGACTATCTTACATAGACAAGTGTTTAGAAATGCCTGCTTTTTTAATCATGGTTTTAGTTGTTCTCTACGTATCAACTCTGTACAATAGGACTGTATTGAAAATTCTGACTTCGATACTGGTTGACAATTTTTTCGAGTTCCATGTTTTTCAACCGTAGGAATGCTGTCTTTGTTTAGCCAATCTTTGCATCTATGTCTCCATCAGATCCTCCCCGTTCATCGATGATGCTACCCAAGTTAGTGAAAGTTTCCATCTGTTCCAGAGGTTCTCCATCAAGTGTGATTGGGTTGGTGTTTCCCGTGTTGTATTTGTGGATGTCGCTTTTCTTCTTGCATACTTACGTAATACGGTCTGTTGATCTTTCATCCAGTTCAACAATACTCTGTTGAAAGCTATTCCCGATTCTTGTAGTAATATGACGTCTCTGTAGTTCTCACAATTGCTGAGGTCTTTTTTAATATTCTGGTGAGGTATATGTCTTTTCAGTCTATTAGCACATGTTCTTCCAAACATTTTTGAATAGGACATGGAGCGTGTTTACACTTATCTCTATATATTCAGCGATCTTTGAGTAGATCTTGCAGGGCTTGGAACCTGTTGTTAAGAGCTGTCTTGGATTCGTCGAGTTTGTCAGTCTCTCGGCGGAAGGCTATACTGAACCTTTGTAATGCTGTCACTCCAGTGGTCTAGTGGTTCTTTAGCTTCACTTTTATCTTGGCCACAACCAAGTGGTGGTCTGGAGGTATGTCAGTTCTCTTGATTCTCATGTCTTCCATTGACCTTCAGAATTGTTTATTGATGCAAATATGATCTATCTGATTTCCTGTAGTGTGATCCGGTGAATGCCATGTAAGTTTGTGGGGCAGTGCAGTGTCACCTATAACCATTTTTAATGCGCATAAATTTGCAAAATTGTCACTTGTCCCTTTCTCACAGTTCATGTCATCCCATGATATCATCATACTTTGGCGTTTAGGTCTCCGACAGGTCGTTTCCTGAGCACTTCTCTATGACTCACTGAAGCCTCTCATAAAGCTGATATTTACCGTCTTCATTTACACCATTTTTGTGGGCATAGCACTGGATAACATTCATTGTAATTCCCTCTTTCTTTGTTATGAAGGATGCTTTGATGATTCTGGATCCATAAGATTCCCATCCTATAAGTGTTTTTCGTGCTTCTTTGTACAGCATCAGCACAACTCCTTGTGTGTATGAGTCATTTTCTTCTTCATGACCCAAGTACAACAGCATCTCTCCGGAATCTAATATTTTCTGTCCAGTTTGTGTTCAATGAGTTTCACTGAGTCTGAGAACCGCCAAGTTGTATCCTCATTTCCGTAGCTGTTTGACTGGTCCCCCCGGTCTCCCACATTATTCGAACATCTCGTGTACCTATAATAATTGTTACCCTGTTAATTAGAAGGGTTATCGGCCTCGTGACGTCCAAAGCGTTTCGGCTTCCACCATGAAACCTCATAACTCTTCTAAATGAAGATCCTTCAATCTTTAGGACTGAGTTTAAGCAGTTGAAATATTTTTTGTGATCAGATTTTTTTTACAAAGATTGTTTTCTACGAGATCAGGTTGCTGATCCAATGCCCAACCCCACTCTTTTATCTGGGCTTGGGACCGGCAGTGATCCTAGAAGGAATACAAGCGGAGTTCTGAAAATGTCTGTATGAGCGAATAGTAAAATGAGTGTTTTCAAAATAAATGTTATTCCTCTTTTATTTGAGAATCAGATACGGACCAATATTATTGTGTTTTCCTGCATTAATAAATAAAATTTCAATAATACAGCTAATCTAGACAAATAAGAAATTTTTAATCAGAGATAAATAGTGACAAGCAATGAGTTTCAGGACGCGCGTTTCGCCATACTCACGACTCGTCCGAGTTAGTATACATTCTGGGACCCGAACATACTGCCGTTCGCTTCAAACAACGTCGCGTTATCCACTTAGTTACTGAACCCAGACAACCACTGGTTTGTGCAACGGGGTGAATTTTAATGCATATATATTAGCTGTTTGAATCGTCCCATCGATAATGAAGGCTGCAATCGCTTAGTCTTTTTTGGCATCCTGTGTGGATTGCCTCGATATTACCATTAAGTCACTAACATTTTAAGCGAATATGGATCAAAAGATAAATATTAAAATCAATTCTAGGAAATCCTGTTGTTTCCAATTTCTGGGTCACTTTAACTCACCGCTATTATCTTCAGTAACTTGAATTTAAATTTATAAAACAATCAGTTTTCCAGTGTATTTTTGAGAAATATGTTTCCGAATTTTGATATAAAACGCCTAAACAGATGATACAATTTTGCATTATTTTATCAGGGACTACTGAGTACGTCTAACGTAGAAATGGGAAAGCTACAGATTTCAAATCAAATTCCATAGAGCCCGAGTGATCACATAGAAATAAGCTTGGAAGCAGCCAGAAGTGAGATAATTTTGGATTACGACAGAAAGTCACTTTATATCAGAGTTTAAGAGTATAGTATTTGAAAAAAAAATCAATCTGTTGTATAAGCAATATGAGGAATGTAACTACGTTCAGTCCCCAGCTTTAAGCAAGGGGCAGAGTGTCTCGAGGATCCCCTTAGGTATAAGGTTAACAAATTTCAGAGTTGAAGATTTACTTTCATGACGTTTTGCTAATTAAGATACGTTCAGATAACAATTTAATTTGTTGACTGCTCTACTTTCTTTTGTTGTGTCGCCAGCTATTCATGAACTTCAGATGAAACAATTAAATCAACACGCTGATAACACTGAATTCTCTCCATCATTGACGAAGGATGAGTTTGCACTTGTAATGTCCGATTTGAGGGGGAGGGTAAATTACATTTGTCAACAAGCGCTTCATATAATAACTTCGACAACTCAATATTTTTGGGTCCGGAGTCAGAATTACAACAAGTAAAATAAATTTTAATTAGGACAAACTCGTGAGAAACTGTTTCTAGTTGCACTCATATTATTGTGATAGTGACGTTGTTGACGATGGTGTTTGCGTAAGTAAAATTATTTTCATTAAAACATGATCTATTACAGTATCTTAATTAAAAACATGTTGATATTTTATATATACGGCTTACCTGATGTTCATGTGGCCATGTATAAAGAAATGTTTACCCACCACAGCTTTGAATTCAAGACTTGATTAACTTTCTAGAAAAAAAATATATAGAATCAAATGTTCAAATCTTGTATTTTGTGCGTAACATATCATATTCTTACTAAAATATGTTATTTTCATTTTGGTAAGTGTTAAACACATAATTTCGAACATTTTGCCATCAGTTAATCTCTATGGTATGAAAATCATCGGTTATTTTATGCATTTATATCTCAACTTGTTTTTATCTCAACATTAAGACTTGTGAATTCTACCTCTCATATATGGGTAAATTACTGTCCAAGTTAGATGTTATGCAACATAATTTTAATTACTATTTTCTTATTCCATTTTAAGCATTAATCATGGGCGGATCCTCTCAATATTTGAGAGGCAAATCTATCTAAAAGCTATCGGTTGAATCAATTCATACAACAAATAAACAAACACTTATTTTTCCAAAATGTTACCTTTACAGTTTGAATAAACTTATATTATGCCATCTAATGTACTGTCTACATTCATGTGGCCCTTTGATAAGAAAGTTTGTCCACTTAAAATTCTCTGCCATACAACTGGACCAGTCAAGATGTACACTAACAATTTGGTTGACCTTGGTTTGACCAATCAGAAGGCAAACCATCCGCCTCCGTAATTATATAAACCAAAATACTAGAAGAAATTGAGAATTTAAACGTGCTCTTCGCTAAGTTTTCGTGCTGATCTGAGAAATATGCCTTTCACCCCAGTAAGTTTCTACCTGTATATATATTTAAATTGTTCATCTTTGGTATATAATGCTTTTTCTTATTTCAATGTACTAGCAAATCTATTTCTACCTAAAATAAAAAGTTACAATAAGGTCACATATTTTAGGGAAATTCTCAGGAGACGTTTCATTTTATTCATTGGTGAGACTATTACTTATGGACGACCTTTGAGCGACACAAAAGTGACCTTGAGAGTGTCTACCTAATTATTAGGGCTAAATGAAGGTTATAAAGCAGTTTGAGGAATAAAAATAATGATTTACACTTGATGGCAAGGGTTAGGATTTAGATTTATGGTTTTCATCACGAACTGACATCAACTAAAATGCCAAGACGCCGTTTGGACGAATGGGTGAGTGAATTTCGTGCCAAAATCCAAGACTTGTTGTCCTAAATCTAATTGGTTCGTCCATAAATTATAGTCTCGCCTATTCATTTGTTAATACCTGATGTGACAAATTTTGGGAATTTTGACTAGATGTTATTCAATTATCCAGGTCCAAATTGTTGTCCTTGAATTTGCTACCTAGCAGTGGTGTATATATGTAGAGTTAGAATGTACTGTTCAGTTACTCCCTTTCATGATCGAAATAAGGATCCCTGTTCACATGGAATTATTGTTAGTGTATTGCCTCGTAATAGAACCAAGCAGTTGCTGAGTCCTTCCCAGTTTCCAGTAATTGAATTATGTCAGTTCCCGGAGCATCTAACTTTTGGGAGATTAAGGCCTCTGTCTAGCAGAATTTAACATTTCTTCAAAACAGCCACCATCATTGAGGAGAAGTAGACATATCTACAATGTTGTTTGCTCGGGGTTATGATAAATAGTTTATCGAGATGAAGACAATTTTGAACTTCTATTTTCCCTCGTTTACTGCGTTTATTTATTTTGGAAGCTGCCGTAGTTTAAAAACGGTACGGCTGCTTGCATGCATTGTTTAGGATCAAAAAATCACAGTATCAAAATAACTGAAAGATTTTCAACCTTAAAAATTAAGATGTGAGTCAATTGTATAATACATTCTTTTCATAGAATACTAGCCACCCCTATTCAGCTTGTTCATTTATGCCATTTCCTACACGCTTATATGAATTTTTCTTAGATGAAAATTAGATTTATAACAGTTGTTTATAAGTACAAACTTTAATCCTGTCATCACATGCTTCCTCTCTTTCGTAACTCAGCCTTTTCCCGTCAATTCCCCAATACATGTGAATTTATCCAGAATTGTTTTGACACAATAGAGGCAATTGTGACATTGCGCTTCGATCGATCGGATCTTTGTCTATCACATTGATATAAAAAATGACCTTGATAACCTTTCTTCCAATCAAATCAGGAATACAACACTAATTTATTGTGTTAAGGTCGAAAATGGTCGATTAGTCTTGGGCTAAAAGAAAGTACATATAGGAATTAGGACACTGTCATGCAGAATATTATTAAATTAGTTGGACAACTACATTTTTTGTTGGGTCAAGATAACTTAAATGACTAGAATAGCCTAGTGGTTAGCCATAATTAATATTCATTTGTCTAGGTTTCAATTCGTCAATTTAAGGGTGTGACAAAAATATTTTGGTGAGATAGCGTTCTGCTTGCTGATATCGCAATGGGTGTGGATAGGTTTAGGGCATTTGTTACCAATTCTTTCAACTGAGTGTCTGGATTCCAGTTTAAGTTAATTCCGTCTTTATTTCAAAGCCCCGTCAAATATCACATGACAAGATGGCCAATCAGAACACTAGCCTATACGACCTTGACGCTGTTCCAAACCAATGACGCGTTAACTAGTACGAGCAGCCTAGGGTTAACTCTGAGTGCTTATTGGTCCTTCTCGCCTAACTCTATTCATTTGAGTCCAGAACACAATCTCAGCTTTCATTGTATGAATCATTTATGTCACACATACGCAGTTTTTATACAAGCAAATCAGACCGTATCTTACCATAAAATAGAAGATAGGAATTATGTGAGATCGAACCGAAAGTGGCTGTGTGAGATTGTAACTAATAAGTTGCTAATTACAAGAATGGTAAATCGTATAATAGTGGTCAATATGTCAAATGGAAGCTTATAATAAAAGGAATGTGAATATACATATAATATAGTTACTTAATAGTTACCCAATAGGAATACTCCATAAATAATTCCTAGCGGTTACCATTCATTTACTCTTCGTTTGGATATAACAAATCCAAACCAAAGAAACGTATTTTACTTTTTGTGCGAAATTTAGGAAGTTATCTATTATGTAAAGAACTTTGCGGGAAATACCTCTGCATGGTATTCAATGTTTATTTAACAACAGGGATTCGTTTTTATCACTGTTAAATGAGGACGACTTGGTGTAAAAGTAAAATCAAAATAATCGTCCATTGTCTGATGCACCTTGCTTCCAAAACATTGTTACAATTGCAGTTTATCCCTTTGTGGAGATTAAACTCGCAAACAATTCATTTTGTTATCGATTCACCAAGTAACAGGTGCTCCGCTAGCGTATAGATACTGAAATCGATCACGACGTTTATGGGTTAGAATATAATATCGTTGTCCCAACTCGATTTTAACAAATTTTTGACGGATTTGTAGCAAAGATAAGATTGTGAAGGGAATTAAGAGTTGTTTATAAGACCTTTATAACCTTAGAATTGATTCAGAAAGAAAACTCCATGCCCAAATAAATGAGTTTATATCACTTATAACTTATAAAATCTGTATTATTTAGGTTTGATTATTGCTGTTGTGAAATATTCTTTCATTATTACTGACTATTATTTATTTCAATAGTTGAGATCATAAGTCAATTGAAGCTAGACCACTCATGATCTCAACTTTTGAAATTACTATAATATCCGCAGAAACCCATTCTGATATTATTTATTTATTTGAACACAAATATTGGTACAAAGGGGCACCGGCTACATATGCGCTACACAAGTCACTTGGTTTGTGAATGGGCTGTGATACTGCCTGGGTGCCTAGATTGACTGTTTATCCCGTATGTAGTGGTTTAAAACTAAAAGTCATTTATAATACATCTAAATGTCGTCGCTGTAATATGGTTTTACGTTTTCTCCTTGCATCGATAGGTAAGAACTGTCCCCTTATGTGATATTTCACCAACGCCCCATAATTTTGTTCTTACTGACTAACTGTACTAATATTGGTGAAATTTGGCGTTGCCAACTTCAGAAGTTATAAACAGGACATAAATATTTACAAAAGCTACGGACAACGATGTAAGCTCACGGCATCTTGCAAGATGTTGATTGCACACTATATGAATTTAAAATAAATGGCGCTACACTTTTAGATGACTTCATAGTTTACAATGATCAGTATACGTTAAAAGATTTCATAAACCATGATTGATCTACAGGATACATGAAGATTATGGAGAATACACTTTATTGTTGTATGGATAATATTAATATTTAAAATAACAATAAGTTGCTTCCCAATAATTAAGTCACTAACAATATTTTTATTTAGGCAAAAGTAGAGAAGTGTGTACGTTGTGACAAATCGGTTTACGCTGCCGAAAGGATGGAAGCCGGTGGGAATATCTGGCACAAGCGTTGTTTTTGTTGTTCAAAATGTGATATGCTATTGAAGTAAGTACTTGTCTGTTAATTCACACTTAGTAAATTTTTTTTCCTTCACTTTGATAACTATTTTTCCTGAGAATTTTATGGATTGTTACGCATTCTGTTAAGTATTTTCACTACGTTTTACTATTCAGTTCAGTCACTATGCATACTTCATAACACGTGCTCAAACAGATATTCAAAATGTAGACTGAAAGTGTGTAAGAAGCTTTATTATCAAGGGCCTAGCAAGTATTTACATAATTCATGCGTGTATATTTGTACTCACACACTATGTGACCTCACTGTGATTTGTAAGGTTTCCGGGTCTCCCCAGCATATCATTTTTCAATTAAAGTGGATATCTTACTCGTCACTAAGATTATACTCTGGTTTTTAAGTCTAGGAATGCCGTAGAATTTATCAACTTCCTACATGTCATTTAAGCAAAGACATTTCAGATTGCGGTCTATTTTGCTTGTATTCGGTTGGTTGGTTTGTTAATAGGAAGTCAGTTGTGATCATTTGTAATTAAATTATTTCATTTTTCAAATTTTGGACTGGATGTGGAATACTCGTTTACTTTTTAGACTGATGTATGTTGTGCTGTCTGATAGACAGCAGTGCTATGAATCAGGATTAAAGATCTTCCGTTTTTTCCCTAAATTTGTCATCATTCCATGAATACTATCCATCCGCCTTTCACTTTTGTACGTGACAAGTTTATCAGCTAAACTAGCCTTTAGTAGTTCAGGTGAAAATATTAGTTTCCGAAATTTTTTGTGAATATTAAAAATCTTAGTTAGTGTAAGCCGTTCTGCTTGTCTTTCGATGTAAACAAAAAACTCAGTACCATTCCTGTTATCATGTTTCCACAACTCTTAAAATATCATTTATATACCACAACATTCTAAATGTTAAATATTATTTTTTAAGAAAGTTGGAAATTGGCTATCAATGGAATCTTTTGTTGAACTTGTCAATCGAGTTCATCCACATCTCATTCTTGATTTTCACACCTGGACACTGACTTAGTACTTTTCACTCCGAACTCCTAATATATTACTAACCGAGTTTACATAGCCACTAGTTTTTCCAATAGGGGTTCAATTTCATTATATAACAGTTTGAATATTATTTGAACGAATATTCAATCTTCTTGACATCTATTTATATCAGTAGTTGAAATCATGAGTCAATTGAAGTTAGACCACCATGGAAAACCTAGAACCACCGGACGGCCGTTTCGTCCTAGTATGGAACCCCTCAGCAACCCCTTCCGATACTAATCAACATATGCTCACTAGTGACTGACTTCAAGAGGAATTTCCCAGAGTTCTAGTGATAAGCCGTTACCAGTGGGGTTCAACCAGGTTTATTGTTAGATATCAGCTCACTGAAGACAATGGTGTACGGTGGATTACTTGGAGTTAGACATTAACATCGTTGGATGCCGACCGGCTCAGTGGTCTAATGGTCAAGCGCTCGCGCGCGAGACTGATAGGTCCTGGGTTCGAATCTCTCGGGAGGCGGGATCGTGGATGCGCACTACTGAGGAGTTCTATACTAGAACGAAACGGCCGTTCAGTGCTTCCAAATTTTCCATGATGGTCTAACTTCAATTGACTCATGATTTCAACTATTGAAATGACTAAAATCTCCACAAAACCCTTTCTGATAATCTATCTATATGTTATCAGTTCATACCTGAAATAGATGTGATAATGTGTATTACTACTGCACAAATACGTGTAATTATTAAATTAAGTTCTCAATTGATTAATCTCTTTGTTATATTTGTGTTTATATTGAATTTGTATGATAGTAGTAAACCGTGTTTAATTATATCACATAGATTAGTTAAGTTAATATGTTAATGAACACATATACCTAAAATCAATTAATTCTATTCATATACAAAAAATAGTTTTCTAAACTATTATGTATAAGTAAACAATAAAAAGTGTAATTTTACTTCTATTTTTTTTGTTTTGTTTTTAATTTCTACTGAAATCACTTTTCATTTCTTTAAATAATCAGTATCATAGAATGCATGAATTATAGATCATATAAGTGTTGATATATAGTGAGCAAGGAATTAATTGATTGAAGTACAAGTTACCACACAAAATTGATTTTTTTTTCCAATTGTTTATCATATGAAGTCATATCTGAAGAGACAGTAATAATCATATTGTTGACTTAATTAATTACATCTATTGGTTATAGACAATTAGTTTTTTTTTAAATAGTTAAATTCATAAGTCGATTTAAGCTAGACCACTATGGAAAACTTGGAAGCACTGGATGGTCGTTTTGTCCTATTGTGAAACTCCTCAACAGTGCGGGATCGTGGATGCTCAGTACACAGTGTTATTTATTTATTTATTTAAACACATAAAAATTAGTGCAAAAGAACACCAAAATAAATATCCGTCACACACTAAAAATGAGACTGTGAAGAGATAGAAAAAGAAAGATGAATATAGAAAAAAAAGTATAGAACAAAACTGAATTAGTGTATGGGAGTGAAAAGTAGTAATAATAATAATGGGAGAAGCAGTTCAGTTAAGAAAAATACAACCAGAACGAAATATTTCAGTTACAGAAGTTACTCTCACTTATATGAAGAAAGTAAACGAAATTTATAGCAGGATCATCGATTGCTTCTATACTAAGCTGTATCTGATAACGTCTCTAGCCAATGTGTTTCACTATCTTCTAGGACCCCAACCAGGGAATTGTTAAGGTCTGACAATCACCATGTCATACACTCGCCACCCCTCCGCCTTTTCTGACCAGTTCCAGAAAAATCTGTAGACACAACTTTGTGCGTAACTAAGAGGACCTCAAGTTTGTGCTGATGATGTCGTTTAAAAGAACGATGAAAGCTCCACGACCAAACTATCCAGCTCAAAGAACAAAACCCCATCAAGAAGAGGACCTTTCTCTTTATTCAAACTAGTTTATTTTAAAGTGTTTTAACACTTCGCAGCTCTTTTGGGACTATTATATGTTACCCTTGATATGTGAAAGAGGTGAACAGAAGATAATGCAAAAGTTGGAGTTTTATTATTATTATTATTATTATTATTATTATTATTATTATTTGATGAATTATTTTGTATATTTCTAAACAGTATTTCCAAATGGGTCATACTATTTCCTTTTTTACATAGCTTTAATTGTGAACTTCAGTCAATTTGTTGATTATCAGTTGTTTCACCATTTAGTATTTTATTGTTATATTCATGTAAATAATGAATCAGAATAATAAGGATACTTATAACCTATTATCTGACCTGTGGTTACTATAATTAAAGATTTGAGTAAGTGGGAAATTCCATGGCTCAACGAAGCAGTAATACCACTGAACTAGTTATGGTTAGTCTCGTAGACAATGATATTTCGGACTAGTATTTATTGTATACATATCGTAACAGTATATGAACAATTTAAAGGCACGGTATTTATTTAACTGACAACTATATCGTTTACTTTCGGCGTCATTTGAATTGGACGTTTTCTCTTAATTGAGTGAAATAAGAGTAAAATAGTTTTTATTTACTTAATCAATTATTTTGACACATGTCACTTGGTCACATACACCAATATATTCTAAAACGTACACGTTGGTTAATATACAGTGGTAATGTTTTAATCAAAAGAAGTATATAGATTAAAAAAAGGAAATTATCTACTTCAGTAACTGTAGTATCTAATACAGACAAGGTACATTACTACTTCATTTATGTATATACATGTATTTCAATTATTTAGTTTCTTTTCCAATACAAGTGTTTCTTACATTCATATTAGTTAAATAGAATAGGATGGGTTTATGCATTCCATATGTTTTATATGACTTCTTATTTCATGTGATTCTAAGTCATATGACTATAGATTATACAATGAATTAAATAACTATTCCACTTTAAAACTGTTTTACACTACAGTATTATCAGCTGGTGAAAATTGAAAATTAGGTTAAACACTACATTTCTTATCAATGTTGATACCCAATTAAATATCAATTCGAACCTGGAACTTTTGATCATTATGCACTGTTAACTTCTGTAAAAGTGTGATCGATAAACGAACTCACTAATGATAAAGTGAGACGCCCACCACCACCACCACATTAACTTTCTTTGACCTTGTATGACTATGTCTTGTTTATTCACCAATCACAATTTTATGTTCATTATAAAACAATATTTGTCTTGTTGACTCATTATATGAAGTAAACGAAATTTATAGCAGGATCATCGATTGCTTCTATACTAAGCTGTGTCTGATAACGTCTCTAGCCAATGTGTTTCACTATCTTCTAGGACCCCAACCAGGGAATTGTTAAGGTCTGGCAATCACCATATCATACACTCACCACCCCTCCGACTGAGATATCTGCTCACTGAAGACAATGGTATACGGTAGCGCAACTTCGTGGATTGATTGAAGTTAGACATTAACACCATTGGATGCCGGCTCAGTGGTCTAGTTTGTTAAGCGCTTGGCGCGAGACTGATAGGTCCTGGGTCCGAACCTTGCGGGGTGCGGGATCGTGTGTGCGCACTGCTGAGGAGTCCCACACTAGGACGAGACGGCCGTCCAGGGCTTCCAGGTTTTCCATGGTGGTCTGGTTTCGATTGACTCACGATTTCAATCTGAAATTTCTAAAATCTTCACAAATCGCTTCTGATCATTTTTCATGTAATAATATCCTCTAGTTACTGTTCGGTATGTTATTTATGTCTTTGTTTTTCCCTGTGTTAATAGACTGTACTGTTTGTTTTGTACATTAACGGTGTTAATTTATGTTTTAAAAACAGATAGAGTTTATCAAGCCAAATAGCTTACTTGTTCTGACTTTGGCTAAACCAAGACTCTGTGCTCGACAATCTAGAGAATAACTTAGTTACACCTGTCGGAAATTGCTTCCTACACTTCCTCTCAAATTAAGTTAAAGAAATTTATACTATATATAGTTCCTTTTTACTAAATTAAAGAGAGGAAAATAAAAATTT